ATACAATTTTATAATATCTTTCCTAAGTTGTACTAAATAATTGTATCTATTGCCTATAATAGGCTGTACCATTTTACATTCAAATCACTTACTTACCTGAAAGAACATTTGACTAATACTTTTACACTTTTTTGCTTTATCTTCTAGTTTTTTCTTCTCTTTATCTCTTAATTTTTCCGCACCACCTTTACGTTTAATTTTCTTCATATTCACAGCAAAAAAACGGTAGTTTCAAAACAGAAAAAATGACTTATGCTATTGTGACCTGACCTAATCAAACGCGCATTGTTTTCTTGCGTGAACATGTACGCACTTCGCACCTCGCGCCTCGCGCCTCGCGTATTGCCTTGTTCTTGCATGAACATGTATACGCAACTACGCGTGTCGTGCCGGTCGCCGGTCGCGCGTCGCGCATCCCGCGATTGTCAACTGATAACGCGAGCAGCCGACTTTTTTTTAGTTGTACAAGCTTTTCCATAATACGTTGCGTTCACTATTGACCGAAACTTAGCTTCTCGCACATAATTTTAAACTTCAATCTACGCACAGACAAAAAAATGTAATGTAACATAAAATAATGCTACGTTATATTTTTTATCAGTGCGTTAAATAAAGTTTAAGATTACGTACAAATTTAAACTTCGGTCAATATACTTAACGCAACGTAACACGTAAAAGCTTGTGCGGTGGCCCCTGAGGCCTTTTGACCCATCGGCCTTATTTAAACCGGCCCACCGAGCTTTTCTCGGTAGCTCGCCGTTCCAATCCAGGCCTGATCTCGTTTTAACTGCAGATTCATTTCATTTAGTTGCTGCTGGTAGTTTCTGCACTTGACATAAAAATATTACTAATTATAGAAATGCTTCCATTTTGTTCATTTAATAAAGTATATAAAGATTATATATCATACCTAACTATTTCGTTTATTGTATTAAAACCCAGTTGGATTATACTGAAAATATACAAAAAGATTGTATACATAACATCTATTTTTTTATATAAAACATCAAAAGAAATTAAACTACAACATTAAGAATATTACAAAATATTATATTTCGTAAAAAGTATACAAAATTTATATGGATTTATTTAGTCTCTTATTATATAAAAGCAAATTAACTTACTTTTTCAATTCCTGCTGCACTGTTTCTGGCTGTGTTACATTATCCATTGCACTATCATAAAAATGGTGATCATTTACAGATATATTTTGTAACTGTTGACCAGTATCTTCGTTTTGTAATTGTTCATAATTTGTACTATCTCTTATTAACCTTTTCGCTCCAGGACTGGTCCATATATGGACCAGCAAGAAAAGCGAACGTAATAGATGTTTATAAGGTCAATTTAATGCACTAAATTTAGGAAAAAAATTGAAAAAAATCCTGGTTACTTCTTTGACCTTCAAAATTAACTTTGAAGGGGGGGGTAGCAGGTTATTATTAACTTTTTCAGCTAAAATGCGAGGTCAATTTTAAAGGAAAAATCTCCGGAGCGAAAAGGTTAATGAAACTGCACTTTGGACTAAAAATAGTTTAATATTGTTATTGATATAAGTTATAAATATAAGTTTTTCAATAATGAAATAAAATATTTATAATATATACCGTAATATAAGACGTAAACATACCTAGCAAAGCTTGAGATGAATCAACAGTTGTTGAACTAGACATCTGTGACAAAGATGTTTCATCATTAGATGTATTAGATGTATGTAGACGTTGGCGTCATTGATTCATTATTCTTTTTATTAGTATAAGAATCTTGTACGGGGCTATTGTAAAGATAATTGCACTGACTTTTAGATGACTGCAATTCTGATTCTTTTGTTTCTTTATACATATTTGTACACTCAGAAGTATGAGAATGTTCAACATTTAACATAGCATGAATTGAGAAATTATCTGGAACATTTTCATTATTGAAAAGATTTGGTAAGGAAGATTCTTGAACGTTATCAATTTTGTTTGTGACTATTTTATTCTGTTCATCTTCATTACTACTATCTGGATTTATTTCTGAATCGCTATTATGTTTTTCTGATACTTTTTCATTCTAATTTGCAGCTATTGCTTTCTTGATACAATCAAATATTGCTAGTACATTGCTATCTTGTTTTTTCTTTTTATATTAGTATTTGTCATCATCCGATAAAATATATCTTCTAGTTTTTGTTCTTTTCCTTTTCACACGTTCATTTATGCTAAAATGAAAAACATTGAAACATAGGAATTAATTATCAAGTGAAATGATAAAAATTAAACATATATTTATATTTCTTTCAGTACCTTCAGGTGATTATTGTATCTCCAATTGTTCAACTATGAAAATCTATCGTGACATTTATCAAGTATATCAGAAGAAACAAATATTAATTTATGATTCGTAACATATACAAATATATTGCATTCATATTGAAACATAAGTAATAATGTATGGATATTAATATTAGAAACATAAATACAAATAATATACACAAGAAATAATTAATATTTTGATACATCGCATTTGTAATGATGCCTTTCTCTAGAGTTAATCAATATTAATTATATCAATACTGATTATACAGTTATACAGGTAATCAATACTAATTATACAATTACCTATTTAGCAATATATCGTTCAATTTGGGTATGTAGCATTTCAATTATAACATATTCAGCAGCAAATTCAGCAGAAATATCTTCATTAATTGTTTCATTTTATTTTTCTTCTATATAGGCATTCGATAACATTTTGATTTAACACAATGTATGGCAATTAAATGTCTTGGTAAATGTTTACAATAGGGGAGACCCCTCCGATTGGCTTCTCGTTTTGATACATTGTAAATATGACCTTCCTGAGTTTGTTTCTAAAACTTTTATCCGTCGCTCATTGTTTATAAAAAAGTTATGAACAAAAAAAGTTTGATGACTAAACTATCGTTTTTCGACACCGTGTACATTTTTTGTGTGTTGTAAACATGTAGGCAAGGGGGGGCTGCGCCCCCCGCAAGTGGAGGAGCTTCGCCCCTCCCCCCTGCTCAACCCTTGGGAAAAAATAGAAAACGGTAAATGTTTACAATAGGGGAGACCCCTCCGATCGGCTTCTCGTTTTGATACATTGTAAATATGACCTTCCTGAGTACGTTTCTAAAAGTTTTATCCGTCGCTCATTGTTTATAAAAAAGTTATGTGTTAAACACTAACACAGTAACTGTTAAACGTCATGGAAAGAATGCATAGTTGTGAGTTTACGGGAGGAAAATGTGATACATTATAATTAGAGTTTACTAAAAGTTTATATTAGTTTCGCTTTCCAGTTACGAACACAGGCGACACTGTATAACACAGTGTCCATTAGTGTGAGAAAGAGCGTATCAGTGTGTGTCTCACTCACACTAATGGACATTGTGTTACACAGTGTCGCTTGTGTACGTAGCTGGAAAGAGCCCTATAGTTAGTAATTATTATCTTAAAAAAACACAATTAGTGCCACGAAAGTACAATATCACGTAAGTGATCTCAAAAAACCTTACTCTATGCCTTACATATTTCAAGAGGTACCCCGATAGCCAAATGATAGCAGTATGCCAGCAGTATACACGCAGGTTTAATCAGCACTTTGCAGCAGATTCCACTCAGCTGTGTCATTATAGTGAGTGAATTATGTAGGCACGATACATAAAGAAAACAACACAGCAAAAATATAGAAATAAATGAAAAATGAAATGACAATAGCACGTTATGCTTCAAATCTGCTACATTTTTTGAGCAAGTTCTGCTTGATTGATGCAATAATATTTGCATCACGGCATGACATACTTATACTTTTTTTTCTGTTTTTCTGTCGACACTAGTTGAAATAACAGATTATGTTTGAATGCTGGCTACATTGTACTAATAATGTGTTATTGCAGACTTTGCAAAATATGCTCACTCAGTCTTGGTTATCTAGGTAGTAATTATTCATATAAATATATATTTATATTTATATTTATATAAATTCATATGAATAATTACTACCTCCTGGAATATATATATATATATGTAAGGCATAAAGTAACGTTTTTGAGATTACTTACGTCTTGGCACGATGGTTTTTTTAGACAATAATTAATAAATATAAACTAATATAAACTTAATATAAGAACATTAAAACTTAACTATTTTGTAGTTTCTAAAGTAAATTTACTTTTTTACTCATTTATTTGTTACTTCAGTTTTATGTGATTATGTGATGTGCACAAACGACCAGAGAAACTGTAAACGGCACATAACTCTTAAAACATGTAATAATTGAAACTTCGAACATTTTCTTGCCTCTATTCTAGATGTTTCATGAATACCAATAACATTTGTAAATGTTTATTTTGTTTACCGGATCAGCTAATTTCAGTTAATTCGACTTCAGTTAAGTAAAAAAATATTGTATACAAAGAATGAAAGTCGTAACTAATATACTGAAGTATACGACTATTAAACTGTTTATATATTTAAATCTATCTTACATTTCAGGAAGAATTCAACATTTTGCAAATAAATAGAAATTAAAATTATCACATACCCCATTATAGCATTCCCACTACGCAGATGCTCATGTGTTGCACGCTCATGCTGTGTTGTATGCTCATGTTGTGTTGCATGCTCATAGTGTGTTTCATGATAATAATTATCTCTTGAAGGACATGAAAAGCCATATTTGTTATATCTACCACGCTGTTGATAACGATAATTTTCCATAATATCTCCCAATTCTCCAGTGTATCCGCTTATTTGCGGTATTTCTTGCAAACTTTGCAAATGCAATAGCGGGTTTAGTGTTCCAGAATCATAAGGAGACACGCTTTGATTATCGATAAAAGAGGACACTCTATTACTGCTTTCGAGTTGCCTTGTAATAAGAATGTACTTATTATTAAAGATTGTTATAATTATAATATAAAATTATTTCAGAGACGTTACATTTGTTGAGTGTAAATATTTCACTTCAAAAATATTTCTTTTTTTTAAGCGTAAACATTGAAAAAATCGAAATTTTAAAATTTTAATAAACATTCCATTAAGCCTTCCTCCACATAAATTACATTCTATTTTCATGGAAATTAATTTTAATTATATTTCAAATTTCAAGTGCATTATCTTTCAATTAAGTTAATCAGTTTATAAATACATTTCTTTAATGAAACTTTTTGTATGGAAGGAAGACATAACAAGTAAAGGACAGAAAATTCTGTTTTATCTGATTTCCTAAGCATATTGAGATATTTTTATGTTAAATCATACAGACATATTACATTTCACATTTCGAATATTAAGTGACATACCATCGACACGCGTAGAGGCTGAAGATGCTGATATCAGTT